ATATATTATTTGTGCCTATCCTGTAAATGAAATTTTATTTTACTAACACCGTTGCATCAGATAGCAAGACACCTATTCTAGTCTGACACAATAGATATGATAGGTACATTGGAAGATGAGTGTGGTGAATTTGCATATACATACACATCAAACTCGAAACTATGTTGTGTTGAAACTGGCGTGGTTTCCCATCCCTATCTCTTGTAGTGTAGGATTGGGGGTCTTTGCCACTTGTCAGCTAATTCTAGATTCTTTTTGGGGTCTATCTTGATGAACTTCTAGTCACTAAATCAGTGGTTAAACCAGACAGGCCAGGTTAGCATCAATACTACTCTTTAAAGATTTTCTTGTTTTGGAGTTCCAGGATATTTACACAGAAATGAATAGATTCTTTTGTTACTATTTCAAGCTGTTTAGTATAAATATTAATATAAGTAAATCTATACATAGATTTCCCTTAGAAAGAAACACAGACATAACAATGTTTGGGCACGCCAACTTCGTTATAGTCCATAACATTGTATATAAGGCAAATGACTTAACATTTTATTTTAAGTCATTTAGCCATCTAGATCCTCATCAGAACATTTAATCTTAACACTTGAGCCATTATCCATGGCAAAATACCATCTCCTCTATTATAGTCAAAGGTTTATCTCCTTAAGTAATCCTTGAACAACTACTAATTATATTAACAACATGGAAACATATATCTGAACAGTGGTCAGGATGAATGCTATTTTGGATACTCCACATGTAGAAGAAGCCCCTGGTGGTGCAGTCAGTTAAACTGCTGAGCTACTAAATTTGCAGACTGAAAGGTTGGTGGTTTGAATCCGGAGAGCGCGGTGAGATCCTGCTGTTAGCCCCGGCTTCTGCCAACCTAGCAATTTGAAAACATGCAAATATGAGTAGCTCAATAGGTACCGCTCCGATGGAAATCTAATGGCGTTCCATGTAGTCATGGCGGCCACATGGCCTTGGAGGAGTCTACAGACAACACAGGCTCTTCGGCTTAGAAATGGAGATGAACACCATCCCACAGAGTTGGACACGACTAGACTCAGTGACTCAAACCTTTACTTTTACCTGCATATAGAGATAATTAATAATACTGGTTTCACAGTAGACATTACTGTACTATTTGTATGACCCTCTATTCCTTCAGAGTTCTGTTATAAGGAGTTAGAGCAGGACTCCCATGGATCACATTTCACTACCACTAACGTAGCCAGTATTCTAGTAGTGTACTCCACACTACCACAAAAAAAAAAAAAAAAGGTGCACGGTGCCTTCAAATATCTCCTCGCTTCTGCCTCACCCTCAGAACGCGATATACATATATAGCATCCCTACTTCGCGGATTTTCACTTTTCGCGGATGGTCCTGGAAGTAACACCCACGATAAGTGAGGGAACATTGTATTTGCCATTTGTTATTCACCTCCATTGGTGCCCCCTCAGATTCAGTATTTGTACCAAGGATTCTGCTTGTGGGCACATCCTGCTGGAACACAC